TGTGCTGAATAGAATGAATATTCCTGTCTGTGTGTCTTTTTTGTAACTTAAGGTTTTGCCTAGAGGGATTCTCTATGTTTTGAATGAAATTACCCTGTAAGGTATTTACCATCCTGATTTTACAGAGGTGATTCTTTTTACTGTTTCTTCTATTAAAATGTTTCTTTTCAAGAACTGAATGCTTTTTTCATTGTTCTAAGATCCAAGGGTTTGGGTTCTGTGGTCACCTATGCAAATTGGTGAGGATTTTTACCAAACCTTCCCCAGGAAGTGGGGTGCAAGGGTTGGGAGGATTTTGGGGGGAAAGGCGTTTCCAAACGACGTTTTCTCGGGAACCCAGATAAAGTTTGGTGGTGGCAGTGGAAGTCCAAGGGCAAGGGGTAAAATAATTTGTACCTTGGGGAAGTTTTAACCTAAACTGGTAAAAGTAAGCTTAGGAGGTTTTCATGCAGGTCCCCACATCTGTATCCTAGAGTTCAGAGAGGGGAAGGAACCTTGACAGCTAGTGTCAACATATAACACTGTCCTCTATAGGACGGAATCTGTACTGTTCAGTTGCTTATCAAACATTCCAACAGACCAATTAGAGGCCTACAGTTCTGGTACAAGATTATCTAATTTGTACAACTGCTGTGGCACTGAAGATCAGTGTAACCCTGAAACTTGTCAGGGTTTTGGGAACAAACTATTTGCACTTTATAATCCCAGGTCTCTAACCTCCATGCTTCAATGGTCTGGGCTTTTTGAAGAAGCCTAATGTAGTTAGGTGCCAAACTCTCATAGCAATTCCCTGGGAGTTGGGTGTTTATTGTGTACATTACCAGCCTTTGAAAATCTCAACCTAAATGTGTAAAACACCTTGTTGAATCTGCATTTTATTTGAGCAGCAGCCAGCACGTCTCGTTTTAGAAATGACTGACCAGTAGCCATTGAAATAAGGGTAACATTTGCAAAAAATCTTCAGCAAACTTGAAAAGTGACATAGGAGCCTAAATCCCATTGCCTTTCAGTGAGATTTAGGCTGGTAAGCCTTCGTAACTAAGACGCTTTGGAAAATGGGATGTAGGCTCCTAAATCACTTAGACTCTTTTTAAAATGTTACCCAAAGAGATTGAATGAGCTTATTGGATGGGGACTGGGTACACGTGTGCTTGCAATGAAGGGCAAGAGGAGGTTTTATTGCAGAAAATGAAAGATCAGCTAATGTTCTGCTGAGATTTTAAAAACTTTCTAAGGGAACTGGATGGGAACTCAGTGTCTAAATCATTTAAGTGGCTCTGAAAATCTCAGGTGTAAATTTTATTTCTAGGGTTAATGCGTTATTTCTTGACAGTCAACGTAGCATTCACCCAATAAAGACAGAGATTTGTTTTAGCATTAGAAGTTTCTTCCCTCTTCAGGACTTTCCCTTTGAGATTAGAAGTTTGACTCTACTGACATAGTGTTTGGTTTATTTTTAGACAAACCTTTCCTTGCTTGTTACGTTCCCCAGAACAGATGTGCCTTGGGAGACTGCACCTTCCCCAGAAGGATGTATAATGAATCAGAAAAGACTTTCCCCACTTGGCGGAGGGTATGAGGCACAGGGCACGTTACTTGACATGACAATGACACCTCAGTAGCTGTTCTGGGATATGACTTCTATTTACTGGGAACATGGAAGTACGTCAATGAGGTGGGGAAAGAAGATGGACTGAATAACCTGGATCCTGGTCCCTGATATGCTAAGTGAGGAGGTGACAACAGAGACTCCAGCTGCTGATCACAGAATGATGTTTGCTTTTTTTGCAACAGTCTTACACTGTTGACTCATATTTAACTTGTGATCCACTATGACTCCAGATCCCTTTCCGCATTACTCCTTCCTAGGCAGTCCTTTCCCATTGTGTATGTGTGCAACTGATTGTTCCTTCCTAAGTGGAGTACTTTGCATTTGTCCTTCTTGAATTTCAGCCTATTTCATAGATTCATAGATTCATAGATTTACCAGAGGGACATTATCTCTAGTCTGACTCCTGCACAGGCCACAAAACCCACAAAACCTCACACTATTCCTTCCAGAGTCCCCAATTGGCAGCCTCCAAGTGTGCAACTGATTGTTCCTTCCTAAGTGGAGTACTTTGCATTTGTCCTTCTTGAATTTCAGCCTATTTACTTCAGACCATTTCTCCAGATTGTCCAGATCATTTTGAATTTAAATTCTATCCTCCAAAGCACTTGCAACCCCTCCCAGCTTGGTATCATCGGCAAACTTTGTAAGTGTACTCTCTATGCCATTATCTAAATCACTGATGAAGATATTGAACAAAACCCCAGACCCTGAACCAATCTCTGCAGGATCCCACTTGTGATGCCCCTCCAGCTTGACTGTGAACCACTCATAACTACTCTCTGGGAACTGTTTTCCAACCAGTTATGCATCCACCTTACAGTAGCTCCAGCTAGATTGTATTTTCCTAGTTATAAGATGCCTTTTTAAAAGTTAACATACACCAAAAGCCTTCTTAAAGTTAACATATACCAAATCTACCCCTTCTCTCCATCCACAAGGCTTGTTATCCTATCAACAAAAGCTATCAGGTTGGTTTGACATGATTTGTTCTTGACAAATACATGTTGACTGTTACTTACCACATCATTATCTTCTAGGTGTTTGCAAATTGGTTGCTTAATTATTTGCTCCAATATGTTTCTGGGTACTGAAGTTAAGACGACTGGTCTGTAGTTCCCCAGTTAGTACTTATTCCCCTTTTTAGAGGTTGGCACTATATTTTCCCTTTTCCAGTCCTCCGGAATCTTTCCCGTCTTCCTTGACTTTTCAAATCTCATTGCTAAGGGCCCAGATATCTCCTCCGTCAACTCATTGAGTATTCTAGGATGTATTTCATCAGGCCCTGGTGACTTGAAGACATCTAACTTGTCCAAGTAATTTTTAACTTGTTTTTTCCTATTTTAGCCTCAGATCCTACCTCATTTTCACTAGTGTTCACTATGTTAGATGTCCAGTTGCTCCTAAACTTTTTTGTGAAAACAGAAACAAAAACGTTATTTAGCACTTCTGCCATTTCCGCATTTTCTATTATTGTTCATTGAGTAACGGGCCTACCCTGTCCTTGGTCTTCCTCTCACTTCTAGTGTATCTGAAGAATGTTTTCCTGTTACCTTTTATGTCTCCAGACAGTTTAATCTCGTTTTGTTCTTTGGCCTTTCTCATTTTGTCCCTGAATACTTGTGTTATTTGTTTATATTCATCCTTTGTCATTTGACCTAGTTTCCACTGTTGGTAGGACTCTTTTTTGAGTTTCAGATCATTCAAGCTCTCGTGGTTAAGCCTGGGCGGTCTCTTGCCAGACTTCCTATCTTTTCTACACAGTAGGATAGTTTGCTCTTGTGCCATTAATAATGTCTCTTTGAAAAATTGCCACTTGTCTTGAACTGTTTTTCCCCTTAAACTTGCTTCCCATGGGATCTTATCTACCCACTCCCTGAGTTCGCGAACATCTCCTTTCTTGAGATCTATTATCTTTATTGTATTGTTTCCCTCCTACCTTTACTTAGAATCATGAACTCTGTCATTTCATGATCACTTTCACCCCAGCTGCCTTCCACTTTCAAATTCTCAACCAGTTCCTCTGTATTTGTCAAAATCAAATCTACAACAGTCTCACCCCTAGTAGCTTTCTCCACCTTCTGAAATAAGCAATTGTCTCCAATTTGGCAGTTTGAAAAAATGGCAGATACGACAGCCGCAAAAAGAGAGAATTAATATTTTTTAGGCAAATGTAAAGAAAAGAAGAATAAAATGTAGAGCTAATAAAAATGTCTCTTGGAATATTTTCCATCAGAAAATACCAATTCATCAAGATCAAAATGTTACATGGAAACCAATTTATTTCTACAAAATTTTGTTTGGGAAAAAAAAGTTGTTAGATATTGTTTTATAAATGAAATAAAATAAAATAAAATTTCAATAATTTTAAAACTTACAAATAAAATGCAATAACAATAAAAACCAAGTCATCTAAAATAAAAATAATCTAGAAATAAAATTAATGACAAATGCATTTTTAAAAAAGTCAAAATTGGCATGAAAACCATCATCTGAAATCATGGAATTACCCATGAAATGGAAATTTGGGTTCCTCACTGCTCTACTAATATGACAATATAACATTTCTTAAAAATTTCCAATAGAAATAATTTATGCAAGAGAGGGTAATTTTTTAGCAAAATGGGTGGATTCTCGCTTTAAAAGGAGATTGGGTAACTGTATGACCAGCAGTAACATTTCCAACACTGGGGGCTAACTGCAGGGTTTTTCAAATTTCATTCTTCCTTGCATAAGATGGTCACCTGGCTGAGTCTCTGTATGTGGAGCGTCCTACTGCAGGACTATGAACTATTGTCCTAGCGAAGGACAGGTGTTTCTGTCTGTTTAGGAGAACCTTTTCAAAGGACGCTAACAGAGTTAGGCTGCCAATTTCCCCTGCAATTAACTTGCAGTTGGCTGCCCACCCATTGCAACTCCCAGCCCTATTTGCTTGGTTTCTTTCTGTGTTGCAGCTTCCCCTCAAATATAACATTCTGACCCATTTCAGCCGTGGAACTCCAGCCTACTTTTTCTGCTTTTAGACACCAGACAGTGATATCTGTTACTAGTTGGACCGATACCTACCTAATCTGTTTCCTCTATCTGTGTTTCTGTGCGGTGGTGTGTGAGCCCCAACACCATAGTACCTGAGTGCTTGGTGCCATCTGTCAAGGTACTACACAGGTTTCCAGAGAGATTCACATTTTGTTTAACCGGCAGTCTGCTCAGATATGAAATCTGTCCCAGGGATCAAGGGAGATGGCATTTCCCCACCCCTGTCTTCTATTCTCAACTCAGCTATTTTTTCGGTAGCCAGAAGAGGGAGACAAAGAAAACAATGCTGACATTTATTGAGTGAATGTTGTTCATTTATATCACAGAGTTAATTTCTTCCCCATAGGCATGCCTCATGGTGAGCCCGGAACAAGGAAATCAAATGTCCCTCACAGAATTCATCCTCTTGGGATTTGGGACTTTCCCTGAACTGCAAATCCTTCTTTTCCTGCTATTTCTTGTGATCTACATTGCAACCATGGCCGGGAACATCCTCATTGTGACCTTAGTTGTGACTCATCAGCACCTTCACACCCCCATGTACTTCTTCCTGGGAAACTTGTCCTGCTTGGAGACCTTCTACACCTCGACCCTCCTGCCCAGGATGCTGGCCAGTCTCCTGAGATGAGGACAGGACTGTTTCATTTAGTGGGTGTCTCACACAATATTATTTCTTTGGTTCTCTGGCAGGTACAGAATGCCTTCTCTTATTGGTGATGCCTTAGTATCGGTATTTAGCAATATGCAATCCAATGCACTATGCAGCCAGTATGAGTGGCAGGGCCTGGATCCAGCTCGCAGGTGCTTCTTGGATAGGTGGCTTCCTAGGTAATGGCATAACAACGTTCTCAATATCACAGTTAACTTTCTGTGGCCCCAATGATATTAACCATTTCTTTTGCGATCTTATCCCCCTGATAAATCTCTCCTGTAATGATCCTCACCTGATGGAAATGTTGGCTTTCACACTCATCTTGATTTTCTCACTGCTCCCATTCCTATTTACCTTGATGTCCTACATCTGTATCATTGTGACCATCCTGAGAATCCCTTCCACCACCGGGAGACAAAAGGCCTTTTCCATCTGCTCTTTCCACCTCATTGTGGTGACCATTTTTTATGGAACTCTGCTAACTGTCTATATGTTCCCAATGACCAACACACTGAGTGACTTCAAGAAAATTCTCTCTGTCGTCTACACTGTCCTGACTCCCCTGGTCAATCCCATCATTTACAGCCTGAGAAATAAAGAGGTCAAGGAGGCCCTGATGAAAACTTGGAGAAAATGCAGCTTTTGACAATGTTAGCTGATCTGTTTCCTTAGGTTACAATGAAATTGATATAACATGGCGTGATTTGGGGTCAGTATCAAAGCCTACTAAAGTACAAGGTCACGTTTCCATTTGCTTCCATTGGTTTCTTGTCATGCTTTTGCAGAGTCACAGCCCTGGGAGAAATGGAGGTACATAGACCTTTTAAAACCCCATGACCCCATTCTTTTTCAGACCAATATCAGATGCCATTGGTGGGTACTACTGGGCTGGTGGGAAACTTGAACTGGTGACTGATCGAAGTTCAGACAATGGGGGGAGATTGTGCTCAGGGAGAAGGTGCAGGGTAAATGGATGCAGTTGGAATGCTGAGCATCCATCCCTTGTAGGGTGAGAGATACACCCAGACACATACAACACCTACATTATAAAAACACACACAACACCTACATTCCCATCTTTAAAAAAGGGAAGAAGGAGGATCAGGGGAACTACAGGCCAGTCAGCCTCACCTCAGTCCCTGGAAAAATCGTGGAGCAGGTTCTCAAGGAATCAATTCTAAAGCACTTTGAGGAGAGGAAAGTGATCAGGAACAGTCAGCATGGATTCACCAAGGGCAAGTCATGCCTGACTAATCTAATTGCCTTCTATGATGAGATAACTGGCTCCGTGGATGAGGGGAAAGCAGTGGACATGTTATTCCTTGACTTTAGCAAAGTTTTTGACATGGTCTCTGTCATAAATATAAAGGGAAGGGTAAACAGCTTTTAAACCCCTCCTGGCTAGAGGAAAAACCGTTTCACCTGTAAAGGGTTAAGAAGCTAGGATAACCTCGCTGGCACCTGACCAAAATGACCAGTGAGGAGACAAGATACTTTCAAAGCTGGATGGGGGGAGGAGAAACAAAGGTTCTCTCTGTCTGTGTGATGCTTTTTCCGGGAACAGAAAAGGAATGGAGTCTTAGAACTTAGTAAGTAATCTAGCTAGATATGCGTTAGACTCTGTTTTGTTTAAATGGCTGAGAAAATAAGCTGTGCTGGATGGAATGTATATTCATGGTTTTGTGTCTTTTTGTAACTTAAGGTTTTGCCTAGAGGGATTCTCTATGTTTTGAATCTGATTACCCTGTAAGGTATTTGCCATCCTGATTGTACAGAGGTGGTTCTTTTACTTTTTCTTCAATTAAAATTCTTCTTTTAGGAACCTGATTGCTTTTTTCCTTGTTCTTAAGATCCAAGGGTTTGGGTCTGTGTTCACCTATGCAAATTGGTGAGGATTTTTATCAAACCTTCCCCAGGAAAGGGGGTGTAGGGTTTGGGGAGGATTTTGGGGGGAAAGACGTTTCCAAGCGGGCTCTTTTCCCGATTATATATTTGTTAGATACTTGATGGTGGCAGCAAAAAAGTCCAAGGGCAAAAGGTAAAATAGTTTGTACTTTGGGAAAGTTTTAACCTAAGCTGGTAAAAATAAGCTTAGGAGGTTTTTATGCAGGTCCCCACATCTGTACCCTAGAGTTCTGAGTGGGAAAGGAACCTTGACAGTCTCCCACAGTATTCTTGCCAGCAAGTTAAAGATGTATGGGTTGGATGAATGGAATAGAAGGTGGCTAGAAAGCTGGCTAGATCATCGGGCTCAGTAGGTAGTGATCAATGGCTCCATGTCTAGTTGACAGCAGAGTGCCCCAAGGGTCAGTCCTGGGGACGGTTTTGTTCAATAGCTTGCCTTTGAACCCTATGCTGCCACCACCAAGCGTGTTAAAGAACAGGAAAGGAGCCCACTTGGAGACGTCTTCCCCCAAAATATCCCCACAAGCCCTACACCCCTTTTCCTGGGGAAGGCTTGATAAAAATCCTCAGCAATTTGTACAGGTGAACACAGACCCAAACCCTTAGATCTTAAGAACAATGAAAAAGCAATCAGGTTCTTAAAACAAGAATTTTAATGAAAGAAAAAGTAAAAGAATCACCTCTGTAAAATCAGAATGGTAACTACCTTACAGAGTAACCAGATTCTAAACATAGAGAGTCCCTCTAGGCAAAACCTTAAGTTACAAAAAGACACACAACCAGGAATATACATTCCATCCAGCACATCCTATTTTACCAGCCATTAAAAAAAAAAGGAAATCTAACACATTTCTAGCTAGATTAATTACTAACTTAAGGAGTTCTGAAGAGCATTCCTGATCTGTTCCCAGCAAAAGCATCACACAGACAGACAGACCCTTTGTTTCCCCGCCCTCCAGCTTTGAAAGTATCTTGCCTCCTCATTGGTCATTTTGGTCAGGTGCCAGCGAGGTTATCTTAGCTTCTTAACCCTTTACAGGTGAAAGGGTTTTGCCTCTGGCCAGGAGGGATTTATAGTTCTGTATACAGAAAGGTGGTTACCCTTCCCTTTATAGTGATGACACAGGTCTACTCTGGAAAAGTTTTGCTGGTATAGCAATACAAATAAACTGTCCTAATGTAAATGTACTAGTAGTTTTGGTGGTATTGCTTACACTCGTGCTCTGAAACAAGCCACATTGCAGAAGCATCTGTAAGCTGGTTTGACCATGTTTACACTAGGGGTTTTACGGGTATAGAAATGTGGCAAAAAAAAATCCCACTTCCAATCTGACATTGCTGTGATGGTGAAAGTTTCTAGTGTCAATCTGGCTTATGTGTTTCTTTTTGTGAGATTACATTGGAAATGCAATGTACTGAGACATTGCTTTCAGTGTGCATTTGCTAGTCAAGTACATTGCTCACATGTGTGTTGTTGTCAGTGTACATTATTGTGAGTGTACACCTGAGTTGAAATCAGTGTGCAGGTGAGTTTTCTATTCCTGTGTGTGTCCTTGAGAACAGACATGATGTGAATGTACAATATCATGTGTTTATTACTGAAAAATATTGTGTAACTTTTGTGTGTGTTGTCAGTGCTTCTTCTGGCATGCAAGTGTGCATTATTGTTGTGTTTTTGAACATACAATATTGTGTGTTTATTAGTGAAAAATATTGTGTGACTACATGTGTGTTGTGACTGTGGATTATCGTGTGGGTGTTTCTACGTGTACATAACTGTGTATTTATGGGTAACTATTATTTTGTGCATGTGTATTTTTGGAAGTGACCATTAATAAGGACTTACCGCTGAACCTGGGATAAAAATCTAAAGCTGCTGTCTTCCTGCAGCTCCTCAGCTAGTGAGATTTTAGTCCATTCAAATGTGATGCCTACAATGAATCATTTCCTCCCATGCCAAGTCTAGCTCATTTCAGGAGTCCTTCGACATTTGTATTTGCTGTCTTGTTAATTTTAAAACAAAATTTGCAAGAATCGTTTTGAGCCACATTTTCAAATGTCACTTTTATTCTGCATCCTGAAAGGACTCCAGAATGGTGCAAAAAATACGTATTTGGGCTTTTATTTTCAAGGGAGTCTAAGGAAGTTTGTGCAGTCCTCCAAGGTATTATGCACCCAGCTCTCATGGGACGTGGTTTTTGGTTTTGCCACTGACATAGTTGGTGGCTCTGGGCAATAGCCAATACTTGGTGCTTCACAGCAGGTGAAAAATCAACTCATCCAGTGCTGAACGTGGAATGTAACTTATTCCTTATGCCCGGAGGCCAGCTCAGAAGAACTCAGTTCCCATTCAGGCATCAAATTAAATGGTGCCCATGGATGATTTTAATCTGAGAATGACATTGGATTCATGATAGCCTCGAATGGAAGGACCTGTCATAACTCAACTCTAGAGATGATCAGGAAAAAAAGTCCCATTATTCACTGCTCTGTCTATCTAAAGTGTCCATATGGCTGCCATGACTGCAGTATCTGAGCCAGGTGTGCTCAAAAATATTCCATCACAAAGTTTTCCAGTGTATACATTACAGGGTTAAGCAAACAAAATTTGCACAGAAAGTCCTCACTTTCCTTGAACTTTTTCTGTTTTTCGTTTAAAGAAATGAAAACTGGGAAAACAAATAGTTTTGGCTGAAAAATGTATTTTTAATTTAATTTAATGGTTTTTGACAGTTTTCAGACAAAAATGTTCAGTTTTGAGAAATGTTGGGGATTTTCTTTGACAAAAAAACCCCAAAAAATTTCATGAGGAAACAAAATTTTCTACCATCTCTGGTTTAACCACTAACTCTTTAATATATTTATCCTCCCCCCAACCCTACAAGGCAGGGCAGTACTATTATATCCATGTTAGAGATGGGAACTGTTGTCCGGACAGAATGACGTGCTCAAGATCACACAGGAAACCCATGGCAAAACAGGTAGCTGAGCTGGGTCTCTCAGGTTCCAGGTTAGCGTCCAGACCACCTGGACCATTCCTCCTCAGTCACTGCTGTCACACTATCTGGAACGGCTCACAACCATGAGTGCCAATCTCAGGTCAGATGGTCAGAACACAGGGCTAACACCCCAAACTGGTGCTATATTCGATAATTAGATTTCACCAAGCCAATAATAAATGTGAACTCCTGGATGACTATATTAGAATTACCATGGAGCCACAGACAGTCCCCTAGGATCTCCAGCCAATCTTACCAACCAGATAAACTGGACTTTGTGATAAAAGGTTCTTAAAACAAAGAATCACATTCTATTGGGTTACTCCCAACCCCAAAGGGTCAGTCACTTATCCCAGGTCAATGGATACTCTTGATCTCACAGCAAAGGCAATGCTGGCAGCAAATTTCTCTAGTAAACTAACTAAAGTTTTGTTAGCTAAGAAAAGAAATGAAAGTTATTGAGAGTTTAAAGCAGGTAAAATACATGAACAGGTTTGGACAGTCCAAGTTTGTCAGTCCAAAGTGACAGCAGAGATGTGGTATCTGCTAGTTTTCCATAAGTCTCTCAGGGTTACCCAAGATAACTTTGGGGATCTCTGTCTTGCATCTGGAATGTTTCCTGAAAGTGTCCAAACAGCTCAGAGAGACAGAACCATTCCCTGGATCCATTCTTACAGCTGTCTTCCCCGGAAAGCAGTCTGGCAAGTTTTTCCATCACAGCATGGTTATTTTCTCTGTTGAC